AAGGAGCACCTCCTGAAAGCAAAAGAAGTATAAAAGAAAAATGTGCTCAATGATGGTTCTGTGTGAATTTGAACAAAAAAAAAAGGCTCCTTCCCAAGCAATGGTCATGCACCTCCATTTGGTGAGTAAAGTGGAGGCACGGAGCACGCAGGAGTCTCGACATGACCAGAAATAAAATAAGCAACAAAAGTAAAAATGGCTAAGAATGAAAACAAAAGGAAAAAAGAGACCAATGGCACAGTAACAAATGCAGTTCCCGCCGCAGCATGCAAAGCTCTCATACATCCCGTAAAAAAAAAAAAAGGATGGCGAAACACAACAGTCCAGGGTGCCATTTGTAATACCACATGATTCCATAAAGAATAAAAGTGTTCGTTGAGGAGCCCAAAATGCAATGAATTTTGGAGGGCACCCAAATCGCGGGCCAACAAGCCTGCGGCACTCACCACATATCCCGCACCGCTCAATCCCCATTCCTCTCATGTAAACTCCCAAAAAAAAAAAGCACAGTCACCAGCCATCCTACATGCCCGAAAACAAAAAAACATATTTTAAACTGTCCTATCGACACCCGCGAATAAGAAAAGAAACATCAGTTCAGCATAAAGACGTCGCAGGCACAAAAATATAAAATAACTATTCTTCAATGCAGGGCATTGTTATATCTCAGGGCGACAACCATCCAGACATTCTGAAAACGCAATTCAGGATTTCAGGTCACATTTTGAGCCCAGTATTTCCCCAATCACCTCCCCCATCACCACCGCAAAAAAGCAACCACAAGAAACAGTACCTCAATCAGCACCTTGTCGTAATAGCCGAATTTTCTTTCTTTATTGGCCTATTGGGCGCAAACAACAAAAGGCAGCACCACCATAGGGGTCTCCATCCGTTTGAGCCTTTTTCTTTTCCCGTAATAAAACCCAGCGGCAGAGTTAGACATGAAAAACAACAATAAAAAAATGTAAAGAAGTAATCAATGCAAAAGAAATTTGGCAAGCGCTCGCAAGGGCGTTTCTACAGAAAAGAATCCTTTCACAGGAAATATATAAGCACACATAGAGAGATAGATCGATAAATAAATTAGAATAATCTTCCGGGCAACTGGCCGGATCATGAGTTTATCAATAATAGAAACCAAACCAGATAGGAATAAGAAAGGAATAAATGGAATAAGAGTGG